AGGATGTGTGATCTAATTCACTACAGTGATGGTAAAAACTGTTTTGTGTTTGTGAAAGGAATTGCTTCACTGCCAAACTAACACTGCACATTGATTCAAGCTTTGGTTTAGAGCTGTTTTAAACCAATTCCCCCAACCTGGCCCACTCCAGATGCATGGGATTACAACTTCCAGCCAATGTGCTTGGAGGGCACCCAGCTGGGGAAAGCTGCTAGAAGGAATCTATCGCATTCTGCCCACCACCAGACGGCTTGACCCTACGGGCTGCCACTTTTCAGGATTACAAACCATGCTGGATAACCAAGCTCCACTTACAGCTAGGAACTAAGAAAGAGGAAACACACACAAAACCTGGAAAGGGATATTCTTAGCTTCTGAAGGTTTGGACAAAAGGGAATATTTCATGTTGAGATGCATTATTTTTTATTAAGCAGAGTTCCCATTGGAACAAAACCTAGCCCAAACTGCCCCGTGATTTAACAGTATCGCAAAAATAAGCAAGTGAAACTTTTGCAAATGAATATTCCTGGCCAATGTTTAATATCTGCAGATCAAGCTGCTGTTAAAGGCACAGATGCTAGACAGGGAAAAAGAGAAAATAAGAACTGGGTTTGCGACTTTGTGCATGGCAAGCCGCCGTGCTTCTAAGAGCAGCTTGACACGCACACAGCTCTCCTTCAGGAATTATTAAGCTAATTATTTTTACTATATTTGCAGTATATTCATATTAGTGCAATGAAGAAACTACTTCCTGGTACAGCACAAACAAAAGTGGATTAGGCAGCAGGATGCATATTAACCCGAGACTGCCCGGCATATTTCTGTTTCTATTAAGTAGGCTGGTGTTATGGACTCCGTAACTGCCTAGGAAGCGTAGGCAATTGGGTGGCACAGAAATGCAAGTTTAGACAGAAAAAAGATTGACATTTCCCAGCACTGCATCCTCGTTTTCTTCTTATGATGATCATAAGAGAAGGATCCGTCTCTCACTGGTCAGGACCCTGTTGTGCATAGAAAAGGCTCTCCAGTTCCATCCCAAAACAGACCTGTGAGGACCGAGCATGCATGGCAGCTACGAAACACCGACTGCCCGCGGGCAGAGGGACAGGCAGGAGCAGCTGGCATCCTGGGCAACATTTCCGCACCACTGCAATGCTGGCACAGAGCCACCGGCTGGGGGAGGGAGGCATATTTACGTGTGCTAATTTACCTATGCTCTGAAGTCCCTGTGTGTGTGTTTCAAGGATCCTGGCCTTGGAACGGGGGGGTGCGGTGAGAAGAGATGCAGTTGCGGAAAAAGGAGGAATTATGAATATGGAAAAAGAAGGTGAAGGCGCTGGGTTTCCGGAGAATGCACCCTCACCGGGCAGAAAGATTCAAAGCTGGGACAGGAGGGGGGGCACATGTGTGCCAAGAAGCGGTTCATCCAGGGGAACCAGACGGGACAGAGATGCTTGGGGGGCCGGACCTTGATGAGAGCAAGTGCTGATGGACAGCAGCCCCCCACCCCAAGATTCGGGGTTCCAGCCGTCGTGGGCCATCCCCAGCTCTCTCTCAGCTTCCACTTGTTCTAACTCCTGAAGGACAATGTGTCTCTTTCGTATGTTTCTCGCTCAGCTGCATGCCAGGCAGAAATTCAGCAGGTGCAGCCTTCCCCAGCCGATTCAGGGCAGCATTTCTGGCACTATCAGAAGCTGGAAGCAGAGAGCAAAGGTGTGAGGCCGAAGGCGTTGCCGGCCTTTCGGAGGGATCTGGCTGGCTGCCCGCCCAGGGAAGGTCGACCAGGGCAGTTTTTCTCCCGATCCTACAGGGCGTGTCTGCCCAAGAGCTCTCTTTCCGCAGATCCATTTCTGCGCTGCCCAAGAGCTCTCCCTGTTGGATTTCCAGTCTCTGGCGAGGCTCTCGAAGCTGGTAAACGCTTGCGCTTAGCGCAGCCTTCCCCAACGCGTGTCTTTCCCGAAGCCCCGGCCAGCCGGGTGGGGAAGCGTGGGCAGCCTGCGTGGGCAGCCACGCGCGGCGTGTTAGGCAGCGAAACAGGCAGACGAGCCGGCGAGAGAGCGGGCGCCCGCCCTGCCCTTCCCGCAGGAGCCTGAGGAGTTTTGCGGAAGCGAAACTTGGTGGAGAAGCAACTTCTCACCCTCCCGATGTGGCGACTCGGTGCAATGCAATCCCTCCGGGACTAGGCGGAGACCTCTCCTCTTCTGTATTGCGGAAGTACACCACCCGCAATCCTGCACTATAGAAGAACAGCAATAATAATGCTAATAAATTCCATTTCTATACCGCCCAGCAGGGGAAGCTTTCTGAGCAGCCGGCTGCAATTGACAAAGGGCAGGTGCACCTTTGTATAATAGATGCACTATTTATATTCCGCTTTTTCTCGTGCAAGGAACCCGGGGCAGGTTATACAGGCCTAACCCCCATTTCGTCCTCGGATTCACCCTACCAAGTAGGTTTGGCTGGGAGTCCGAGGCTGGAGCGGGGCGGGGGCAGAGCCCGGCCCTTCCGCTCACCACCGGCTCATTTACCGTTAGACGCGGTGCAGCTTACTTTTGAGTAGCCCCTCCCAGAATGGCGCTAGAAAAGCTCCCCACGGGGCCAGTTCTTGCGCAAGCTTAAGCGCGCAGAATAACCCACCCACGCATACTGATCCCGGAGGCCTTTACTTCAAAGTAAACGTGGGAAAGGGGACGCACGGCGTGCATTCCTCCGTTCAAGAGAGGAATGGACAGGGCTGAGCCCCCTTTTCGGTGGCAAAAAGCGGTTCGGCTTCTCTTGATTTCGGGGAAGTTGCTCGCAAGTAAAATGAGCACACCGGTAGAAGATCAGGTCCCGATCCCCCGGACGTTTCTCCTCGGGAGGGATCCTCAGAAAGCTCTGCAGGGCTTCCTTCCGAGCAGACCCGTCTGCGGGTAAGTGGGCGCGGGAGGATCGCGCAGCGACCCCGAAGGCGCGAATGAATGAACGAACGAACTCCATGAATGGCAGGCCGCCCCCGCCCTGCCCCCCGCCCGCGCATGCGCCCCCGCCACGCCCCCGCCCCAAGCCCCGCCCCCGCGCAAGGCGAGCACTGCCCGAAGAAGCGGCGGGCGGAGGCGCGGAGCCGAGCGGGGCGTCCTGCGGGAAGGTGAGCCTGGCGCGGCGGAGCGGCGTGAATCCGGGTTCTCCGGCTCGCGCCTGCGGGGGCTCTGCGGGCTGCCCGGGTCGGGTCGGGGTCCGGGTCGGGGGCGCCCCGGGAGAAGCCGCGCAGGTGGCGGGGCGGCTGGCGGGGCTGCGCCGGGCAGCGGCGCCCCCGGGCGCCTACCTGCCTGCCTGCCTCGCTCGCGCACGCCGAGCCCTGTGCATGTGTGCACGCGACCCCCGGGCACGCAGCGAGCCCCTCCCCGCGGAGGGCCGCGGGGGGCTGGCGCTTGGCTTGCATGGTCGGGCACTTCGGGGCGGGGCGGCACAACGGGCGCCGGGATCGCGAGCCTTGCAGATGTGCCGGGCTGCAGCGCCCGTCGGCAGCCTGGCTGGAGGAGACAGGCGCTGTACGGACGCAGATGTGGCACAGCTGCAGGGCCGGGGCTTCTTGCGGGGGCTCTTTCCCGGCGCAGGAGGAGGAGCGCTGTCGTTGGCCGCCCACGCGTGCACTCCGAGCGCCCTTCCTCCTCGGTCCGTGACCAGGGGCGTGGGCGTGGGGCGTGGGTGTGTTCCCGGCCCCCGTTTCGGGGCCCCGCGGGTGGCTGGCGCCGTGTGGCCCCGGGGCCGTCCCGCTGCGGTGCTCCGTGGGGCTTCTCCCAGGGAAGGCTGCCCTGGTGCCGAGTGGGGGCAATGGGGCTGCGGGGGTCTCCTGCTGCGTCCGGGGGCTTGCTCCTCCTAGGCGGCCTCCGTTTGCTCGGCCCCGGGGCTGTCCCGTGCTCCGCGCCGGGAGTCTCCAGGGGCGATTAACTTCCCTGCATCCGAAGAATGTTCTTGGCTTGCGTGACGTGGTGCCTCTTGGCTGATTTTTGAGGTGGGGCGGTGGGCAGTAAGTTTACACCTGGTACGAGACTGCATTGCTTCAGAGTCCCTTTGTTCTACCCCAGCTGGCCGTGCCGCCTGTCCTCTGCCCATGTGCAGAATTCGGGATGGGAGTGGTCCATAGTTACTCAGGTATGAACCAAAGGTGGCAGCCACCAGCCATGCTAGGAAAGGATGAGCCGTCATCCAAGCGCCCGCTTATACAGAAACCTGGAACAGGGTAGGTAGCTGAGTTTTGGACTACAGCTCCCATGATCCTTGACCATTGGGGCTGATGGGAGGCATCGTGTGTAGCATCTGAAGAGACCCCAGGTTGCTTATCTGTGAGGAAGTGGACTGGTTTTTGCATCACCAAATAACATGTCTTGGCAACAACATAACTGGAGAGGACAACATTGTCCTGGCTCACCTGTTCTGTCAGTAATGTGTGCTTGCAAGTTTCTAGTCCTCCTGAGAAAGGTACCCACTTTTGTTTTGCCTTGAATAGGGTTGTTCTGACCTAGGGTGTGTCACACCTTAGCTCCAGGGCCTGTTCTTTAACACCAAGGTTAAGTTGCTGCACATTGAAAGAAGCTGGAAAGGAGAATTTATGTGGAACCCTCACTTAGCAGCTAATGAGTCTTCCAACTTAAAGGCTGTTTAGTTTCTGAGCTCTAAACAGTTCTGGCCTTCGCTGCTTTTCTTTCTCTGGCTCATGTTTGACTCTTTTCCATGCTTTACTCGAAAAATAATAATTAAGAAATGGACCTACGTATTTCCTGATTTGCATGGCTTTCATATCCCGCAGATCTTGCTCCATCAGCAAGCTGGCTTTTTCTGGCTAGTCTGCATTCTTTTGCTTTATCCATTCTATCAGGTCGACAGTCTCAAACTTCTCTTCCTGGTTTGCATTGAATGCAGACTGGATGCTCTTAAAATGGTTAATTGCACTTGAAGTTAAGGAAAGTTTCAGACTTGGCCGAAAGGCATTTATTTTCCTTGCCAGGATTCAGCCCCAGAAGTCATGTAGGAAGAACAGGAAAAAGTGCCTCTGAGCAGGTACTGAGTGTCATTCCTTGCCAGCAAGTCCCAGAGTTGGGGGGAACAGGCCCTGGCATCTGATTCAAGGTACTCCATTTCTTGACATCCTGCCCTTCAGATTGATTTGAGGACAATGCTCAGCAACCTCCCCTAGCCCACCATGGGCTGGGGATGCTGGGAGTTGTAGTCTGACACATCTGGGAGGCTGTCACAGTGCGTGGTTCTTACGATGCCTGCCTGATTCCCTCTTAAGGAGGGAAGGTGCCAGAGTAGGAGAAGGAAACGGTTAACTTATCCCAACGGTTTGATGAGAGCGCTCAGGCGAAGGCGTTCGCTTGGGCTGGGAGCCCCTGCCGTGCGTGAGGAAGGGCCCAGGTGCAGTCCCTGGCATCCTCAGGTAGCAGGTGAGGGTGAGGCCCTCTGCCCCGGATGTGAGGAGGGGCTCGTGCAGGTGGGGTCTCCATGCCGCAGTGCGCTGGGTGAGCAAACTGCTCCGTCGCCCAGCAAATGTTTAAACACCAGGCAGGGCCTGCTCTTGCCATGGCAGGTTGTAACTAATGGCAGGATGTGGGGACAACACTCAGGCCGCTTCCCTGGCCCTCCCCTGGCGTGACACAGAGCACGTATTGGGTCCCGGGGTCCCTGGTTCCTTACACAGTTGCTCTGTGCGCGTATCTTCCTATGGGGGTTATGTGTCTCTGCGTGAGTCCGCCCCTCCATCCAGCTGCCATGCCCAGAACCCATGCTCCAGGCACTGTAGCCCACTGTAGCTCCAGCTCCCATCATCCCCAGCTAGCCCAACACGTGTGGTGTCTGGCAGGTTGGGGAAGACTGCGTTAGCTTCCTAGGGGAAGCGAGTTAATTTAATTCCTGGGAGATTCCCTCTTCCACTCAGTTTCCTATGCCTGCAAGTTGTGTTGGTGACTGAACATGGGGACAGACAATTCTGCTTGCTGCAGGGGCATCCAGGGGTTACTTAGTCCCCAAGGAAGTCACCCACTGCATCTCTGTAAGAGTCACTGTTCGACATCTGCCTCTGTCTTATAAATGTGTCTTGAATTTTGATCTGCAATAATTCAATATTTGGTTTTGGAAGCTTTTTTTTTTGGTGTGGGGCCATTCTGGGTACTGGTTGGCTGTTAGATTCATAGGAACCATGTTGAAGGACAGGGAGTGTGAGGAGAAGGCAGTAATCTTTATAATGTATACTCTTAGCCACTTTGCCACACAGAGAGTTATAGAGTTGACTTGCTCCTGATAAACTGGAGTTAAGCATTACCAAAGTTTATCAGGTTCTGATGACATGGCAAACTGTGGTTAGTCACCAGTGGAAGCCCAAGCTTCCAAATTCCTCCCATGAAAAGGGCAGTATGTGTGATTGTGTGTGAGAGGGAGGGGCATCCAAATGGACCACCATGGCTGGACCAGTGATGCATGCAATCTGCCCTGGGGTTGAACATGGCCTTCTTGGTGACCACACCGTCCCTGGCAGTTGTGATCGAGACTGGGAGTTGTTGAGCTGTATGGATCAAAAGCCCCGTGTCAATGAAAACAGGCTCCCCCCACCTTCCGCAACAAGGTAAGGTCATTTCCTTACCTCTGTGCTTCTATTTTGGGAAGCAGGTTTAATGCCTGCCTTTCTGTACGAGGCATCGCTTCCGTCCTGTAAGATTGGGTGGTGAAAGTGCAGGCCACTTACAACATATTTACTTACCTGGATAGGTCAGGAAAGTATTGATCTCGGCTCATTTATTTACAGCTGTACACCCTGACCTCTGCCCAAAGCCGCTGCCTCCATTTTTACGAGGGAAATGAGGCAAAGAGGAAACCATCATCGTGTCTTTTTTCTGCCTCGACTAAGAAGGGAACAAAGTTCAGGCAACTTTTATAGTTGGCTTTCTGATAAGTTAGACCCCTTGTACTGTTACTGCAAGTATTGATCTCTCTACACGAAGCTGCTAATCACTTTCTGAATTCCAGTGTAGTGTTGAGATACAAGCTCTCGACAAAGAGGTCTTTTTTGCCTGTTTTTCCAGTACATAACGTCTAGGTTCAAGTGTGAGGAAGTTTCACTGGAGGCCAGACTCTAGTTCCCATCATCTTCAACCAGCATGGCTGCTTGGCTGGGGATGATAGAATGTAGTCCAGCCTAGTTGGGGAAGGCTGCCTTGTGCAATTTCATTTCTCCATTGTATTTACAATTCTTTTCATTCAAGTCTGCATGTGCTTAAAGGCATCTGTATTATCCAAGCATTTTCTGTACTGTCAGAGTTGTTTAACCCTTTCTCTCCACTACCTCATGCTCCATTTCGTATTGAGGTGTGACTGCGTCGTGGCATGCAGGGAGAGAGAGGTTCAAATTAATATGATTTTGGTGGGCTATCTCTGTGCAGGGGAATGCAGTTCTTCTCTGTCATGTCTGGTTCTGTCCTTGGAATAAACACAGTCCTAGTTGACTAAAAATGGCTGGACCAGGTTTCTTTTTCAGTGACTAGCTCCTTTCATACCAAGGGTGCATTAATGGCTTGTTTCCTTTCGCTCTGCTTCTGCAAACATCTTTCCAGATGTGCTTACAGCTGTCCAATATTAGGCCCGGAACCTCTGTTGTTCTTTTTCTCTTTGAGCCCTGATTATGCAGCCCTTATCTAGATATCCTAGTTTCAGACAATACAGTAACCCACACTCGGACTGAACATGGGTTAAGTAAGTTGCCGAGCTATAGGTTGTAGTTGTTAAATTGTAGCTTATCATGTTGTCTGAACCCACCTGCACTAACAAGCCATGGTTTGTTGATGGGTTGTGGACTGTGGGTTGTTCACCATGGTTTGTTCCCGTGGCTGAGTTCAGGCAAGTCGATAACCTGCAGTTTAGCAACAATCCATATTCAGCCAATGCACGGCCTTTAAGTGTGAGATTACCATGTTGGATGAATGGAACAGGTATTGGACATACCGAATTTGTATTTTGGGAGATGGTGCTTGCAATTGTGGGGTGTATATTGTCTGTGTTGAGGGGGTGAGCCTTTCCCACTTTGTATCAGGGAGACTCTGTCTTGCTCCTGGGTTACATTTTGGGGCATGAGGGTTTAGGGGGGTTTAGTGCCATGCTCAGAGGGCCAGTGTGCCAGCAGATGGTGAGTTTGATTCTAATTTGTGGAAGCTCAAGGTTGCTTGCTGGCTCAGCTGAGAAGCAAAAGATTTCCGGGTCTTTCGGAGTGGGCCATCACCCACCCCCGTCCTCAGGAATTTTAAGCCTGGTGGAGGACCAGCCCAGGTGAATGAAAATGGAGGGCTGTGGGTTGTGGGAGTCCGCGAAAGACAGCAACACCCCTTCTGCAGCAGGGGAACGATTACTGCTGGTGCACTTTTGCATAACTGCAAAGAGAACACTGTGTGAAAATTAATCTGCAGATTCATCTCCCAGGCTGACTCTCAGTGGCTCTCTTCCGTCCACGGGTCTGTATCCTCACAAGCATTGTCACCAGCTGCTGCTGCTCTCCAGCCTCCTCTTCATCACTGCCACCATCAGGTTGGACTAGATGACCTCTGAGGTCATTCTGGGCTCCACAATCCTGTGTCTTTTCTCTTTGTGTGTGGGAGAGGGTCCCATTGTGTGAACTGTGTCCTGAAGACCCTTGTTAGGGGTTCCTTGGCACGTGCCCAAGCATGCCTACCCCTGACACCAGCCCCGTTCCTAGGAAGGATCCTGAAGTTCATGATGGGCTATCCTTGGTATTATTATCCAGGGCTGGGATGGAAAAATTAGAGTTCTGAAGGGCCATGGAGAGCTGTAGTAACATCCTGCAAGAGTTGAGATGTCTCAGTCCAGGTAGTGGAAGCAAGACTGAGGCGGCCCTGCTGATGTCGCAAGGCAGGGGAAAACTTCGTGGAGCTTGTGAATTCCGCCTTTTATGCCACATTTCTGGATTTTGTACTTGCTTTCTGCAACCTCCTCACCCCATTAAAAGGGTGTTTGACAGCGAAATCTAGATTAAGAGCAAAATCTTATGGGAAATGCATCACACAGTGGAGCTGATCAAAAACACAATTGAAAGCAATTTGAAAGAAGTAAACCACACCCAAAATATTAAATCTGCCTTTGGAGATGAGCAGTTTGTGTGCCAAAAGCCAGTGTGGCCTGGCAGTGCGTACTGGGCTGGGGCTTGGGGAAACCCAGGTGCTCGTTCCCAGAATTTCCATGGAGCTTGCGGGGAGATTTTGATCAGCCTGGCCTACCTCGCAGGGCTGCCATGTGGATAAAAGGGAGGAAGTTTATGTAGGTCACCATGGATTCCTTGTACAAATCAGGCAGGATACAAATATAATTAATATCTTGAATTTAATGTATGTCATTAATAATAAGGAATGTTCTGGATTGCCCTGAGAGGACTTAAAACAGAGTGGTTTAACTTCAAGTGGAAGGGCCAATTTCTGGCTCTCAGCCTGGCCTACCTCGCAGGGTTGTTCTGAGGACAAAAGGGAGAAGAGGATTAGGGTGGCTGCCTTGGCTTCCTTCCAAGGAAAAGGGCAAGATAGCAATAGAATCAAGACCTGCCGGGCGAGGGCAAGGGCTGAGCTAGCCACCCCGGCGAGTGGTTTGAGAACCCGAGCTGCCGGTTTCTGGAGGCAAGGGAATCCCTTGTCGATGCATGACCTTTGCTTTATTTGGAAACAGGGTGATTCGGGTTGGGTTGGTGGATCCACCCCGAGTTTGTGTGCATTTCATAGGGATTTTATTTATTGTTAAAGTTTCCCATGAGCAGGTAGAAAAAATGTTGTGACTCACGCCGTTTCATTGTCGTGTGCATTGGAGTGACAGGGTGGATGGAGTGGGGGTGGGCGGGGGGCCAACAGAGCAGATCTGCTGTGTGCTCAGCGTGCCCCCACCTATGTTGATGTGTGTTTGTCTTGCGGGAGGGGACGGAGCCATATGGTTTCGACAACACTGACCAGCAGATTGGAACAGAGATATTTGCAATCTAAGCAAGCGGATCGCACGAGAAAAAACTCTGTCTATGGGGGAAGGGATGCACAGACAGAGGGTTTCGCCCAATTTATTTTATTGGCACCTTGTGATGGATTGGTCCA